GTTCATTCGGGTCGGGAAAGTTTAGCCTAACGAAGGTTAATTCCACACTTATTGTTTATTGTTAGTGGCTTCGTTTTTCCCATCACTAATTGGTATCGAGTCTCGTATCAATGAATTAAATTCGTCACTGGATACAGAAGCAACATAAGAAGTGCGCATGGTAGGGATATGGGGAATGGGAGGAATTGGTAAGACTACTATTGCCCAAGCTTTGTTTAGGAGAATTTCTTACAAGTTTGAGGGTAGTAGCTTTATTAAAGGTGTTAGAGAAAATAGTAAAAGAGATATATGTGCCTTACAAGAAAAGATTCTCAAAGATATTCTAACGACGCACCAGGGGTCCATGAATAATGATCCAGAGGATGGAGCCAAAATGATATATACAAGATTGTGCAACAAGAAGGTTCTTCTTGTTCTTGATGACGTAGATGATGTCAAGCAATTACATTTCCTAGCTGCAACACGTGAGTGGTTTGGTGCAGGAAGTAGAATCATTATAACCACTAGAGATGAGCATTTGTTGTTAGATACGTATGCCAAGTACAAACCTGCTATTTTAGTTCATGAGCAGGCTGTTGAGCTCTTCAGTACGCATGCTTTTCGAAAAGCTAACCCTCCAGAAGGGTATAAGGAGGTGTCAGATCGGGCAGTAAGCCAGTGTGGCGGTCTTCCTTTAGCTCTGGAAGTTTTAGGCTCTTTCTTCCGTGGAAGGGAAGCACATGTCTGGGAAAGCGCTTTAAACAGGCTACCCAAATCACTAGATGAGAAGATTTTTGCAATATTGAACATAAGTTTTGAGGGGCTAAAGGTTTCTGAGAAAAACATATTCTTAGACATTGCATGTTTCTTCAAAGGCTATGATGAAGAACATGTGACTAGAGTACTCGATAGCTTTGGTTTTGATCCAGTGATAGGAATTAGTGTTCTTATTGAAAAATCTCTTATAACCGTCTCATATAAAAGATTATACATGCATGATCTTGTTCAAGAAATGGGTTTGAAAATTGTTCGTGAGAGTTCCCCGAATAGCAGGCTATGGCAAATCGAAGAGATCCATGATTTCATTAAGAAAAAGAAGGTAATAAATTTCTTTCTTTATTAAAAGTCTCGCCATCTATGGTAAAACTATCAAATATATATCTTGATGGATGTAAAAAACTTGAGGGTGTTCCAAATTCTATTTGTGAGTCGCCTTATCTCAAGGGCCTTCATCTTGACAACTGCTTGGAAATACGAAAATTGCCAAAAGAGATCGGAAGCATGGAAAACTTAGAAGAGTTATGGCTAGGATTTTCTTACTACTACACAGCATTAGATAGGCCACGGGAGTCCCTTAATTTTTGTTCTTTTACAAATTTGTGTCGCTTGAGAAAATTAGATCTCAGTTGGAGACAAATGGAAGATGAAGACTTCCCCAGTTATCTTCATGAACTTTCCTCCTTGGAAGAATTACATCTAAGTGGCAACTCTAAATTAGTCCAATTACCTCCAAGCATCTCTCTCCTTTCTCATCTTAAACACCTAGAGTTGAATGATTGTCGGCAACTTCAAAATTTTCATGCGCTTCCATCCGAGATACAAGTACTGAGGGCAAGCAATTGCCCAGAATTAGAAAAGATTGGAGATCTTACAGAAGAGTATGTGTGGCTGTATAAGATATGGCTCCCTGGTTGCAAGAAACTGCTAGAGAATCAAGAGGACAGAAGATGCCTCGATAAGATGTTGCAGCAATCTTTCCTTAAGGTATGCGATCCCTATCTATCTCTCGAATTTCGTTTTATTTTTATTCATCTACTTCAATTCAAATGAAAAGAGCTTGAATCTGCATCCTTTTTGTTAGATAAACCCTCTCTTGCATAATCTACCACGTTACCCAAATCTCTGTAACTTTCATATATACTTTGAAACGATTCTATATTCATGAGATAGGTGCTTAATTAACTGAAAATTTTGACGTATGATGTTTAATGTCGAGCACAGAAATGTGCTGCTGTAGATCGCCGGTTAAGTATCGCTATTCCTGGAAGCAAGATTCCAAGTTGGTTCAAAGAGCAACATGGAAATCAAATAGAACTGAAGTTGCATCAGGAATTCCGTACAAAGATCATGGGGTTTGCTGTATGTGGTGTGTTTCAACATAAGTGGCTATTAGACTTTGTCCCTACTTCCATACATTTTAGTATTGGAAAGTCTAGAATATCATTTCCTAAGTCAATGGTTGATGAGGCAAAGGTTGATTATATTGATGCATCAGAGGTAGCTGAGAATGGAAATGTGTGGATTGCCTATATACCATTCAGTTCCTTTCAGCAACAGATGGTGGATGATTTCGAAGGCAAAGATTGGTCTCTTTTCGATAAAGATTATCTTACTATCAGTATAATAATACGAGGTGCTCAAAAAGTTGAAAGATGCGGGGTACATGTAGTGTACGAAGAAGATGTGGAATCGACCCAACAAATTAAAACTTGCATACCTGATTATCGAAACTCAGACAATGTTTTGCGCTATGACAATACTTTTGTGTACAGAGAAACGCTTAGAACCATCGATCGGTAAACTCCCTGCGTACTATATATTTCACGTTTGTTATATGTTGTTGGGTTCTTTTTCTTTTCTATATTTTTGAAGTCTTATTTGTTTTCCATTTCTTTGTATAGTTTTCAGTTTATATCTTATCATATCATATCTTAAACTATGCAGGTAATTTGTTACAATAAGGAACACAACACAATAATATACTCAAACAATTACTAGAATTTATTTTAGAGTCAACATGGGAATAACGGAGGGTTAGACCGAAGGGTCTAGTGAGTGATTTCTCCTCGTATAAAATTTTCCATAAAAATAATAATAATTTCAATTCAAATTTCAACTGTCGCGGCTGCCCCGCCATCTATCACTGTATTCCTGCCAACTATTGCAGCTCCCCCGCCATCTATCGCGGCTGCCCCGCCATGGTAAGTAATGTACAGACACAATAGTCAATGTTTGATATCGGACAACATATAGACGATGAGTGCCCAATCCGGACAACACATTGGGCGATGATTGCGCAATCCGGACAACACATTGGGCGATGATTGCGCAATCCGGACAACACTTTGGGCGATGAGTGCCCAATCCGGACAACACATTGGGCGGTGAGAGCCCAATCCAGACAACAGTTTGGGCGATGACCGGGCCTTATCGGCTATAGTTTTAAGCGATGAAGCCATAACAAATTTTGAATATTGAGTGTTTTAACACCTGCTCTGTCTAAAGACGTTGTAATAAGTTTATAAACATTTTTGGGTGTCTTAACAAGCTTTTTACAACACTTTTAATACAAAGTGTCCTATTAGCAATTTGATATAACACTAATTGAAAAAATGTCATATAAAAACAAGTGTCCAATAAAAGATTAGTTTATAGGACACTTTCTCAAAAGTGACCAATAAAATTTGTTAATACGACGCCTTATATTACAAGTGTCATAAAAAACTTGTTAAGACGCCGAAAGCGTCCTATCAACTTATCACAACGCCTTTAAATGAGACGCTTATTAATATTTTGGTCCTAAAAGTTAAGTGGTCTATTAAGACACTTAAAAATTGGTGACGTCTTGTAAATCCAATTTTGTTGTAGTGTGAGATACATCTTGAGAAAATGGTCATGCGAGTCATGACCAAGGTTCATGGCTCATGGGTACCGTTAGGAGGTGAGGGAGGCCTTGCAGGTAAATAGGCTGGTGAGAGTTCACATACACCTCTTAGGGGCCGTTTACCTAAACACTTACCCGGTAAGCATTTACCGGTAAAATCCAACATCGCTTACATATTGGGTAAGATTTTATTCACTAATACGCATCGTATGCAACAATTTATCCCGGTAAGCGCTAACCATGGTAAGAGTCCTCGTCCTCACTTACTGGGTAAGACTCTCGATTCTTGTCTTTGCTCTTACATGGTAAGATTTTTAGTTCTTGTCATATTCATCCGGTAAAGTAAAGTGACTTGGTAAACACTTACCCGGATAAGCGTTTAATAAACGGCACCTTAGAGTTATATATAGATCAAAACGTGAGTATTTAACAAATATCATGGATAGATCAAAACGTGATATATGTGTAAACTATAACAAGAAAATGGAAAGCAAAGGTCCATTTCTAAATTTTAGGTTTTTTTTTAATAAATTAAATAATATATTCAATATTGGTCCCAAAAAGATATCTATTTTTTATTATAAAGCATTTGACAAAAACTTTTAAAAATCATTTTTTATGCATGAAATACTCTTTATTAATGCATATCAATTACAATTCAAGATTACAAGTAAATTGTGCGTAAGTACAACTTATAAAGCTTCATGTTTGAATTCGTGTAACTAATTGCAGATAAATATAATCAAATAGAGGATAAACATTTCATTTTATAATATAAAAAATCTAAAATATAATTAGGATAATCATTGAGTTCTAACAGAATATTTAGTTATTATCTTTATAAAATATTATACTACTAAACCAAAAATAAATTATTTCATAATTAAACTTAAATTAAATTATAACTAAAAAATAAATTAAAGAAATTACATAAAAAATGAAAACTTATAAATAGTTGATTTGATATTAACATTGATATTTTTTTTTTTCAAAATTTTATGATATCTTCAAATTTATATTTTATTCGAAAATAAAATCATTATTGTTTTATTAAAAACACATAAAATCGCATTATAACATCAACAGAGACAAAGAATACAATAGAACATTAAAATTGAGATGTATTTCGCTGTATTGCGGGAGTACTCTTCTATTTTAGTCTAAAATGATTCATATTTTTATGTTAAATATCTAAGAAATTATGTAGAATGAATTAAAATATGATAAGAGCATAACTTATAAAATAAAGAAAAACAATAAACTTTATGAATAAATAAAAAACTCATGCTCCTACATTTTTCTATATACGCAAAAGAATCACCAAACCTACAAACAGTATTCGAGTTTCGCTAGATGTACCCGACATCTTATATAATTTTCATCATCGTCCCATGGTGAAAACAAACAGATTACGAGTTTACCTTTAATAAAGAGAGACCAATACTCCTGTTCAAAATCATCATGCATCTGTTGCTGAATGAAACTGAATGGAATATAGGCAATCCACATGTTCTCGTCCTCACGTGCTACAAATGTATTAATGTAACAACCTTTGACTCTGGTTTGAGGGTTCTATTAATTCCAACACTTAAGTGGATCTCGATAGTACTAATGGTTTTAACATATTCGCTTTGTCGCCCCTGAAACACACTACATACAACGAATCCCATGACATCAGTATGACATTTGGACTTGATGCTATGTGGTTTTCATGTCGCTGCTCTTCAAACCAACTTGGAATCTTGTTTCCAGTAATAGCAATACTTAGCACACGATCTACGACATCACATTTCCATACTCGATAAGAGTACTAATTCCAAGGAAAGATTGTTGCAACATGTTATAAAGACATCTCTGGCAATTTTTGCAGTTGCTCGCACTCTTGAAGATGAAGGCTCTTGAGATTTTTTAACTCGCAAATTGAGCGTAGAATGATCTTAAGATTTGAACAATCATTGAGATATATATATATATATATATATATATATATATTTGATAGTTTCTTCATACCCAAAGAGACCTTCACGAATTTTTCAAGACTATATAAGACAATAAGAGAGATCTATAGTCTCCAATAATTGCATCTCTATCAAAGATGGGAGACACTTGAGGTTCCAACAACCATTCATGTAAATGTCTTATTGATGTACATAAAATCATCCAATATATTTAAAACCGGTTGATCCAATTAGAACTGACCGACCATAATTAGATATCCAATTCAATTGGATATCCAATTGTAATTAGATCGAATCGAATCCAAAATTTCAACATCCAAATTGGATGACTAGGTTCTTGGATGACAGTCTACAATCTAATAAAACCAAACCTAGTCAATTTTACTAACCATCCAACTACCATCCGATTAATATATAGACATGTACTCTCTCTCTCTCTCTCTCTCTCACACACACACACACACACACATATATACTATATTATAAAACATTTGACAAAAAACTCTTGAAAACCAATTTTTATGCTTGAAGTACTGTTTATTTATGCATATTACTTAAAATTCAAGGTTACAAACAAACTGTGCGTAAGTACAATTTATTAAAGCTTTATGTTTGAATTCGTGTAACTAACTGCAGATAATCATAGTCAAATACAAGATAAACATTTCATTTTAAATATAAAAAAATTAAAATATAATTAGGATAATTATTGAGTTATAACATAATACTTAATTATTATCCTTATAAAAAATTATATATTATTAAATCAAAAATAAATTACTCCGTTATTAAATCTAGTATGATAAAAAATTGAATTAAATAAATTACACGAAAAACAAAAACTTTTAAATAGTTAATTTGATACTAATATTGATATATTTATTTTCGAAATTTTATGATATCTTCAAGTTTATATTTTATTCAAAAATAAAAACATTATTCATTTCTCAAAACCACATAAAAACCGTATTAAAACATCACATAGACGGAATAAAACGAAGCATTAAAGTCGAGATATATCTCGCTGCATTGCGCGAGTATCCTTCTACTATATATATATATATATATATATATATAATCAGAGGGAGGTTCAAGGAAAACCCCCCAAAAATGAAAAACTAAGGAACACTCTACTAACCATTCATCTGAACGACATGATACGTGCATATAAGTAATTGACGCAATATCTTGGTTTTTATGCACGTGTGCATACCGGACAAATTGCTTACCAATTACTTTTAAATACATGTACATATCATCTAGATGAACGATTACCATTTACTAGAGTGTTCCTCAGTTTTTCATTTTTTTGTGTTTTTCCCTTAAACCTGACCATATATGATTAACATACCCCTATATATAATTAATAATATTTTATGATTTTGCTTATACTTGATATTAGTATGTAGTGTTTTTTTTTATAAACTTTTAAAAAATATATGAACAATTGGTTAAAATTGTGGATTAATTGGTTGAAATAAGATTACAATATTGGACAGATCCAATCTGATCTAATGGATAGCCAATAATAATATCCAATTGATAGAACTGATTTGGTTCAATTATTTAATTGAATTGATTCCAATCATCATTGGATGGCTGAGATGGCAAAATCCAACACCGAATGGATGATTGGATTGTATTGGATGGCTCAGATGAATGCCCCTAAGAACATCAAGAACCATATCTCCATTGTTCTTGAAATGGAGAATGTGCAATATGCAATATGCAACATGGGTTGAGTTGTTTAATATTCATGCCCGCTCCCACAGAATCATTCACCTTTTGGGTTTTCTTTTTCTGAAATCATAAATGGGGTTCGGAAAGATAACTATTAAAAGCATCGTCGCTCTTTTTATTATGTCGATTTGGATTGAAGACGCCGAAGAAGAAGCTAGATGTCGGAGAAAAAGCACGTCGTTGTCGAGGTCACGTGAGGAGGTTAGTTTCGGTTCTTTAAATGCTTGAATACTTTAGGTTTTTCTTCCCATTTTTATACACTTAAACAACTTGTACACAATTTTGTTTTATGAAAACATGGAAAATGGCCAATATGCCATCACGTGAAGGCACGTGACCCCACTTAACGAAGCTCGAGCATCGAAAAAATAATACCAAACTCGAGCTTGAGCTTGAATATTTGTTGAATTGTCGAGTTCAAGCTCGAACCCGAACTCATTATCGATTAACTCGTTTATTGGCTCGATCTAGATAGCTTTTATATATTATTGTAGGATTTATGAAAAAGTGTATGCTCAAATGACTTCACTCCACTCGACTTGAGTCATAAAATCTAATAGAGTTCTCGAACGAACCGAGTCAAACACTGGTGTTATGAAACTCGACTCATTAAATTAAACGAGTTTTAATTTGTGTTCGAGATCGACTCGAACTCGAGAATCATTAAGCTCTATCTTTAGACAAACGAGCTCGAGCTCGAGTAACCGATTAAAAACTCAAATTGTGTAGAACCCTAGTGAAAAGGATGTCACCCTTCATTTTTAGTCGACATGGCCAACTGTTTGCATCATTTCTTGCATAAAAACGATGTAAAATTAGGTGCAAACAATAATTTATATTTGTTTTATTACACAACTTTTAACACAAAATAGAATATTCTAAGTTATTCTTTATGCCTAATTTAAGGGGTGTTTGTGATTGCTTATTTGAAACAACTTATGTTTTTCTATAAAAACACTTATCAACTTATTATAAGTCAAAATGATTTAACTTCTTCAAAAACTCCTTATTACCGGTTTGACATCGGTATAAGTTGTTTATCCAAACGCTCAAAAGTGCTTATTATCGATGTCATACCGAAATAAGTTAATAAATTATTTTTATAAGCAATCCCAAACACATATGGATTTTCAGTTATACCGTGTGTCCATTAGTTGTTTACAAATTTTCCCTATAACTCCTATTGTTATAATAATTTATAAATTGGAACCAAAATAAAATTAATTTTGTAATTTATTGTAAATTTATAAATAAAAAAAAGTTACATTTTAAATTACCATCATGTGGTACTGTAATATATGTATATCAATAAGAGTGTTTTATTTTAAATATACTATTGTATTTTATTGGAAAACTTCTAGCTCCGACTAGATCAAAGATTTCATCCTTGTGAGATCCCGTTCCTATGGCTTTGCGTGTGCGTGTGCGTGTGCGTGTGTATGTCTGTGAGTGTTTTGTGTTTGGAGGGAAAAGAAAGACTGGCATCGGAGGGAAGGGGTTTGGTCAATGGTATGAAAAGGATTTCGTTCGGGAGGTGTGGCCGATGATGTGAAAAATGGTTTGGCGGATGTGTTATACAAGGTTGGGTTTCAGTGAGATTGGAAGTGACGACGAGAATATAAGTTGTGAGAAGCGTAAGAAAATATCATATCAACACTAATGAAATGCACCGAGATGCACCAAATCAATTTCTTTTTAAAACACATCTAATAGGTGAATATGAAATCAAAATTGATCAAGAGTTCAAATCTTTTTTCATAAATAATTTCCCATCTCATGTCGATATAAATAATATAATATTATATATTTAATTTTTTCTAAAAAATTAGAGACATAAACAAAAAGACAAAAATACCCTTTTATCTAACTAAATTAGTAACGAGGAAACACCATCACGTGGCGTTGCGTATGCTTACAGAAATTGAATGAACACATTTGGAGCCCTAACCCCTCTTTGGCCATCACATTCCACAAATCCTCTTTCACCGACCTCAAAAGCCTTTGTAGCTTCTGTGCTGGTCTAAGCTTCTCACCTTTTCTGCTTCTTGTCTTTCTCATCACAGGTACTCTTCACCAACCATATCCATATCGTTGCTTCTTCTCCTACTTGTTTCACACAAATCCATTTTGAAATCTATATTATTGTTCATCTAACATACTCACATGAATAACGATATCCAAATTCTTACTCAATTTTGAAATTGATTCATATTGATTTCAGCAGCAATAGATTGCGTTTCCTGTATGTTTTTGCCTATTGAAGGATAAATTACTTCCCTTTTGGTAGCTTTGAACCAACAAAGTGTTTACAAGGGTATCAATTATATATTTTTGTTAAAAAAAAGTTTCATTGAAATTGACTGACTTTTGATGTGTAAACAGAAGCAATTGCTTCCTGGGCTTTGCATTTTACCAATTCAATGGCATCTTCATCTTCTTCTGTACGGAGTGGAGGATGGACATATGACGTTTTCATAAGCTTCAGAGGCGAAGACACTCGAAACAATTTTGTAGATCATCTTCATACATCTTTGGTTCAGAAAGGAATACGTGTGTTCAAAGATGGCGACATGCTCCGTAGAGGAAAGCCCATATCTTCAGAACTCCTGAAAGCCATCGAGGAATCAAGGTTTGCAGTGGTTGTTTTTTCAGAAAATTATGCCTACTCTTGTTGGTGTTTGGATGAGCTTGCCAAAACCATGGAATGTCAAGATCGGATGGGACAGAAGGTGTTACCGGTATTCTACCACGTGGATCCATCTGATGTCCGCGGACTAAAAAGAGACTTCGCCACCGCTTTTAAGCAACACGAGCTGAAGTTCAGTGAAGAGATGGATAAAGTGAACAAATGGAGGAAAGCTTTAGCTGCAGTTGCCAATTTATCTGGATGGCATATCTCCCCGGTCAATGGGTTAGTTTTCCTACATCTGCTGCGTCCAATTCAATTACTTATGGGCACTTCAATTTCCTTGATCCAAATCTGGCTATGTTTTTTTCATCTCTGTCCCATGAATAAGTTTGTGGGTACAAAGGTTGTACAAGATGCACCAGAACATAAAAGTAAGAATTCAATGGAGCTCTGGGGAAGCTTTAGGAACAGAGTTTCTGATATGGGGTTTGGGCTAAATTTTGAGTCAATCAACTGAATGTTCATTTTTATGGACAATGCCAACCTTTTCATATAAGGAAAAACATCTACAATGATGCCATCACCAACTGGGCAAGAGACTTAACAAGTCACCCCCGAATCATGAGTTTGGGTACAATGAAAAGGTTAACATACGTTGATAGTTAAATAAATGTAAATGAAACTCTATGTTTTAAATTGAAAACCACAACCAGGAACTCTGAATGCTAGTGTGACTTTGCACCCAATAAATTAAATCCGTACTCTTATTATCTGATACAAATTGGCTAGAATATCACAAAGATACCCCCGGATGATTGAATTGAATAACAAAAGACAAAATGTAAAATACAGGGTGAACCGGCTTTCAAAAGGCCAGATGCTCTCCCTGGCTTTAGCCCACAGAATAACCAAGAAATCAAATACCCTCACTAGGCCTTCCCATTCTTATTTATACTCCTTCACATAAGCTAAAGTGCTAAACAGATTTTCCCACCCAAACTAACCCTTCTCCCTTACTACCTCTAGAACCTTCTAGAATGACCCGGTACTAATGTGTACTGCTAATACTAGGGTATAACAATATCTGCAGCTAACTTCCTCCTCTTCAAGGTGGAAAGGAAAAATGAAGAAATTGTTGCCGGCATGTTACAACATCTCCCAACCAGTTGCAACCGGAGACAAACAAATCCTTCCAACTAAACTTCATGCCCCCTTCATTGTTGCTTGTCACTACCAGAATCGAATTGAAAAAAATTCCATCAAGTCTTCTGGATTTCTGCCAACTTATACACTCATCCAACTTTTCTTGTTCCAGCTTACTTTTAACCCAATGACTATAGCCAATCAATTGGAAGGAAACTAACCATACCTTTCTCTGTTTGAATGGTCTACTATACAAAAGAATAAGCCAAGTTCATAGTCCCCTTCAATCCAATACCCAGATTGTGCCTTTACTCGTAGCATACGGTCTTGATCCTTTATATTCCCAATTTTCTTGGTCAACGAAAATATCTTGTAAATCATATGATATAATGTTTTAAGCAGTCACAGTTTGGTACTCGGAGGTGGCCATTCTGCCTTTGGCTTAGATTTATTGAAAACATCTCTAGCAGCGCTCCGCTTAGCTATGATCAATATATTTCCGTAAAGTAAACTGGAGGTTTTGTCTTTGTCGAACTACCCATCAAAATTAAGTAACCAGCTAGTCATGTCCTTCCCACGAGCTTTTTACCATCCCCCATAGCAACTCGATGACCATTCATATGTTCAACTTTAGGTGCAATTCCTCGTATCAACCACTTCCTTTGATTGAAACTGCCTCAATACCATCATTATAAACTCCTCCCAACGAGTAAATGGCTGACGCTGATGTTCCCACTGAATCCACTTCAACGCATCCCCTTCAAAGCGACTAATAGCTACTTAAATTTTCCTCTCCCCACTAAGCGAATTTGATACAAATTATCTTTCTGCTATAAAGAATCCACCTCTTTGGGTCAGTTCCATTGAATATTGGTATTTCCAATTTCTCTCCTTCATGGTGGAGAAATGATTTACCTCCAATCCTTGTCCCATTGTATGCATCTTCTTGCTTATCTTTTTCATTGGAATTTCTGACCTCCTCCGCTTCTCCTCTTGGAGTTTAATCAACCTCTCCAATTGCTTCTTCACAGTTTCCATGGTCATCTTCAAGGATTCAAAGTCTTCCTGTATTTTCATGCCTTTTGCCTTAATCTCATATCCTTCCCAATCGTCACTGCTCTGATACCAATTGATACAAATTGACAAAAGATGCTACTATAGTCGGATGATTGAATTGAATAACAAAAGACAAAATGTAGAATATAATGGTGAACTGGCTTTCGAGAGGCTAGACGCTCTCTCAGGCGCTAACCCACAGAATAACCAAGAAATCAGATACCCCGTACTAGGCCTTCCCATTCTTATTTAAACTCCATCACATAAGCTAAAAAGAATTTCCTGCCCAAACTAACCCTTCCTCCTTACTACTCACTTGTACAACTAATACTAGGGTATAACATGTTCCTTCAAAAACATAGGGAAACTGAATCCGTGTTCTCTTTGTAGGTAGCATTTCAATCTTAAGGAAGATTGGATCCATCGCATGTCATTGTAGGTAACCTTGTCTTGACTCGTGTATCCTTGCAAGTGAAGTAGAAATAAATCTGTTAGATCTACGATTTACATGTCAATTAACTTGCTAATAATGCTCTTAAATGTACAGGGGTGAATCTATATTTATCAACAAGATTGTTCAAGAGATTTCCGGCTATGTACAACCTTGCAGAATGGAGAACAATCTAATTGGTATTGAATCTCGTATTAATGAATTAAATTCATTATTAGGTACAGAAGCAACACATGAGGTACGCATGGTAGGGATATGTGGAATGGGAGGAATCGGTAAGACAACTATTGCCAGAGCTTTGTTTAGAAGAATTTCTTATGAGTATGACGGTAGTAGCTTTGTTAAAGGTGTTAGAGAAAATAGTAAAAAAGGTATATGCAGTTTACAACAACAAATTCTTAAAGATGTTCTAGCAACGCACCACGAGTCCCTAATTGAGGATCCAGAGGACGGAGCTGAATTGATACAAACAAGATTTTGCAATAAGAAGGTTCTTCTTGTTCTTGATGATGTGGATGATGTCAAGCAATTATGGTTCCTAGCTGCAACACATGAGTGGTTTGGTGCAGGAAGTAGAATCATAATAACCACTAGAAATGAGCATTTGTTATCAGATACAAATGCCAAGTACAAACCTGCTCTCTTAAATAAGGAGCATGCTGTTGAGCTCTTCAGTAGACATGCTTTTGGGAGAAATAGCCCTCTCGAAGGGTATGAGGAGCTGTCAAATCGTGTAATACGCTACACTGGCGGTCTTCCTCTTTCCCTGAAAGTTTTAGGCTCTTTCTTCCGTAAAAGAGAAGCACGTGTGTGGGAAAGTGCTTTAAACAGATTAGCCAAAACACCAAACATGGAGATTTTTGAGACACTGAAGTTAAGTTTTGATGGGCTAGAGGCTTCTGAGAAAAAAATATTCTTGGACATTGCATGTTTCTACAAAGGCCATAATGTAGAACGTGTGACTAGAGTACTCGATAGCTTTGGTTTTGATCCGGTGATAGGAATTAGTGCTCTTATCGAAAAATCTCTCATAACTGTCTCAAATGAACGGATACACATGCATGATGTCCTTCAAGAAATGGGTATGGAAATTGTTCGTAAGTGTTACCCGAATAGCAGGCTATGGCAAAATGAATTCCATGATTTCATTAAGAAAAACGAAGTAATAAATTCCTTTCTTTCTAGAAGCTATACTCTTAGAAAATTTGTATTTAGAATTTCAGTTTGACCTCAGTTTAGTACTTTGTGCAGAAACTAGGAGCAATTGAAGCCATAGTGTCGACACACGTTGATGAGGACATGTCTGATGAGAACACGGGTTTTAGTGCTGATGTTTTTGAGAACATGAAGAATCTTCGGCTACTTGATATTTGCGGTGGTTTCACTTCTTGTAAACCTACAACTCTCCCTGATGAGTTAAGATGGCTTAGATGGGATGAATACCCATTTTCTTCTCTGTCAGTAGCGAACCTGCAAAAGCTTGTTGGACTAATCATGATAGGAGGTGAAATTGAACATTTGTTGATGGGGGATAAGGTATTTAGTGGATACAACCGGTTTCATAGCAACAAGTGACTTCATAATTTCTCATGCACAGACATTTATGGAGATAAATTAACTTTTTTTTTATTTGTATTCAATTATGAGTCACCTTGATTATAATTTTGTTCATTCCTATATTTTGTTGTCAGGTTATGCCATACATGAAACTCATCGACCTTCGAGACTCATTCTCCTTTAGAAGGCTTCCTGATTTCTCATGGACCCCAAATGTTGAGAGGTTGATTTTGTCAAACTGCTGCAATTTGGTGGAAGTTCACGAGTCTCTTGGATCTCTCAGAAGGCTTGTTTACTTAGACATGAGTGGTTGCGATAATCTTAAGTGCCTCCCGTCCAGGATTGAGATGGAATCATTGGAGACTCTAAGTCTCTCTTATTGCTACAGTCTTGAAGAATTCCCGGAAGTCTCGCCATGTATGGTTAAACTGTCCAATATAAATCTGGATGGATGTGAAAATGTGAAGAACATTCCAAACTCAATTTGTGAGTTAAAGAATCTCCAGACCCTTCATCTTTACGACTGCATGAAACTGCGAACATTGCCAGAGGAGCTAGGAAGCATGAAGAAATTAGAAGAGATACGGCTAGGATTTAAGGATCACGTCAAGGGCTTTGAAAGGCAACCTGAGTCCATTAATTTTCATACTTTGACAAATTTGTGTTGCTTAAGGATATTAGATCTCAGTTGGAGACAAATCGAAGATGAAGACTTCTTCAATAATCTTCATGCATGTTCCTTCTTGGAAGAATTATATCTGAGTGGCAACTCTAAGTTAGTCCAGTTACCTGCAAGCATCTCTCGTGTTTCTCGTCTTAAACGCCTAGAGTTGAATGATTGCCGGCAACTTCAAAGTTGTCAAGCTCTCCCATCGGGGATACAAGTATTAAAGGCACACAACTGCAAAGCATTGAAAAAGATTGATGATTTAACAGTAGAGTATATGTGGTTGTATAAGATATGGCTCACTGGTTGCAAGGAACTTCTAGAAAATCAAGAGAATGAAAGATGCCTCAGTAAGATGTTGCAGCAATCTTTCCTTGAGGTAGCCCATCTCTTTCTCTCATATCTCATTATATTTTATGTATAAACTTAATTTTGAACAGAAGAAAAACTTTTTGAAATCCTTAGGGGCCGTTTGCTAAATGCTTACCCCTTGAGCGCTTACCTACCAAATGAACATGGCAAGGACCAGTAATCTTACCTAGTAAAACGATAGCGATAGCAAGGACCGAGAGTCTTACCTGGTGGCTGGTAAGTGCGGGTGATGACCTTACCCGGTTAGCACTTACCGGGTAAATTGTTGGCCGTTGCATACGATGTTGTTTTGATGGATTAGAATCTTACCTGGTAAGGTAAGTGATAGTGTTGAATCTTACCCGGTAAGCGCTTATAGGGTAAGTGCTTATGTAAACAGCCCCTTAGTTTGATAAAATCCCAAGCTTCTCCAAATCTATGCATTTCTCATATTACACTATGGGGCTGTTTACTTGCGGCTTAATTAGGTTTATTGGTCTATATGGCTTATTCGCACAACTCATTTGGGTTGTTTATCTACGGCTTATTCGCACAGAACATGGCTTAATTGCACAGATAGAAATGGTGTGTTGTCCCCATTCAGCCACAAAAATGACACCCCTACCCCTTCTTTAAAGCACCGCCTCCTTCCCATGTGAGACACCCTATCTTCGGCCTCTTTATGATTTTTTTGTTTTGATGTTCAAATAATTAATATTGGGGGGGGGGGGGTAAATGTTATTCAGACTGTTTGTTCAGATAAAAAATGTAAACAACAATACCCATTTATCCAGACAGACAAATTTATCCATGCAGAGCTTGGTAAAAAATTTGGTAAACATCCCCTACAACAATTATGTATTCATGAGGTTGGTGATTAAGTCCATCTTCAACAGTTTGTGCACCATTTCTTGCACCAAAATGGTGTAATCGATAATTTATCTCTAACCTATTACATAATTTTTAACACAAAATAGACTATGACAAGTATATTTCATATTTCTAAACATATATAGATTTCCTATAGTACTATTCACCAACACCAAAATGGTGTCAAAATTGGTTGGGCTGGAATGGATTGGTGTAAAAAATCAGATTTGATGTTGGGTTGGAGATGATCAATAACAATCAAATTATGCTGTTTATTGTTGCTTGCAGAAATGTGCTGTTATCGATCGCCGGTTAAGTATCTCCATTCCTGGAAGCAAGATTCCAAGCTGGTTCAAAGAGCAACGACATGGATCCGCAGTGGCATTTAAGTTGCCTCCAAACTATCATACCCGTATCATGGGGTTCACAGTATGTGGTGTGCTTCGAGGGAAATGGAAGTCAGAGTATAATCCTACTTCGATCTTCCTCAGTATTGAAAATAACGGAAAGCTCATTCCCGAGTCTGAGGTTGATTGTATTAACGCATTTACTGAGAATACAAGCGTACAGATTGTGTATATACCAGTCAGTTTCTTGGAGCAGCATATGGATGACGAGTATGGACTGGGGGACGGGTCTCTTATTGTTGAAGGCAGTCGTTTTATCACGATAAGCATACAATGTGATCAAGAGGTCGTAAGATGCGGGGCACATGTAGTGTACAAAGAAGATGTGGAATGGATCCAACAACCCGAAACTTGTATCTCTGATTGCCGGAACTTGGACCAGGTTCAACGCTTTGGCAATACGTTGGTGTACAAAGACGAGGTTAGCTACATGTATGAATAATTCTCTTGGTTAAATGCAGTCAAGTTTTTTATGAAAGTTTCATGGTTTTCCCGTTTTCTTTATTTAATTTCGAGTGAGTTATGGTTTTTAGCTCCGTTACTCTTCCACCCGAACTTTTAAACTCAGCCGTTGATGCACCACCAAATGCCAAAATCCTGATTACTCGATCCGACTAGCGAACGATGCACGATGCACATGTTCTATTGTTACTTGTGTCCACATCTGGGAAGCCTCATTCCGTCATGTCAAAGGTACGAGAGCGAACCATATGAGATGGTCCAACTTATATCTATATTTAGGATTTCAAAACTACCCTTATTTTTCATACATTGGTGACTTTTATTACTTAATAGTGCGTGCATGAATCTTAAGTACTTTCCAATCTCCAAAACAGGAATAAGATCTCAAACTATAACTAAAATAATATGATTGATATAAAAATAATTATTGATTAATTTTGCGTCTAGGAATATTCGGAAAAATGGTTTTATATGAATTATTAATATTTCTTGAATTTAATGTTATTTTTATGATAAAAACAATATATTGAAGATTTTTTTTTTTTCATATTTTATCAAGGGTCTTTTTTACATCTCGCCCAGGGCCTATAAAATATCAGGAACGAGTTTGCCCACGAATATACTCTCAAAACACAACTTTCAAAATTGAGATGCGTGGAGATGAAACTGCAGAAACTTATCTCAACTGCGGGAATCGACTCGATGGATCTCCGACTCTTACAGTAACCAATCCTGCAACAACCGCAACTTCATTCGCAGTGATCAACGCAACCTTCCAAATTGAGCCTCCACTCAAAACACGGTCTTCAGACACTACAACCATTGTGGCATTCGTCACATTCTTTCTCGATGCCCTCTTTTAATTATTTTTAATAGCAAAACAGACCTTTAGCAAGTTATGGGATGACATTCCCCTATTGTAATGCAATTGATCTATAGGCATAGGAGTTGTTTTGATTAGATTGTAAAGTAATGGATCTATAGGCATAGGAGTTGCTTTTATTGGTATAGACAGGATGACGTTCCCCTGTTCAAACTTGAAATAGATACGTCTTCATAGGCAACATGGTGTGGACTCTCGGAGTCGAGACCACTGACCAATATAAAATTGTATTAGTATTGCACTTTGACCTCAATTTCGTACTTAATTATAGAAACTAAAAGCAATTGAAGCCATAATGTTGCCCGTAAGATCCTAACTTGACAACAATTGAGAAAACTCCATAGAAATGTAGATGTTCAAGATTTAGATTGAGATTAGAGAAAGATGATAAACATGAACATGATGAAAACTAGTCGGATTCATTTATTCCTGAAAATAGAAAATACAAAGCTCTCTTAATCTTTTAGACGACTCTCATATAAAATGAAATAGAATGAACAACCTTAAAATCTTAAACCATGACACCTATATATAGGGTCATTTACAAGACAAATAGCCCAATCTCGTAAATTCCCTAAAAGCCCAAAATACAAATCTTTATAAAACATTCGTAATAGAAAAGATTGAAGATCTAACAAAAGATCGTAAATCATGACTTTGGTAGATGCAACTGACATTCCAATTCCTTTGTATTTGTTGGAATCCAACCAACCAGCACCCCCTTATTTCACTTCTTAATGATAAGTGATGGTGCTGAAGTCTGAAAGTGGAATCAATAAGACTTTTGCTTTTGTAAACATATAAACATTTGAATGTGTTTAATTCCATTTTACATATAAATATAAGTTACATCTAAAACTAGCAATCCACTTTAACCAAAATATATCATCGTCAAGGGCAGACCCAATTTTTTTTTTAACGGTGGTACCATTTGACTATAAGAAAAAAATATATAGAGAAAAAATTTCAAACAACGACACCGTTTGACTATAAGAAACAAATATACCGAACTTTTTTTAATTGATGACATTATTTGACTAAAAAAATGACAGTAACATGATTCGAACTTGGGTCTGAGGTGACATAAAAGCCTTGCAAACCAACTCTACAAATAAAACCAGTTCTCATTGTAGTTTCAAAATACATACGGTATCACACAACAAATTAATACGATTGCATCTTTCATAAATCTAAATTTCTCTTGCTCAATTAAATATATATTATTAATTAATTACCTTTAATAGTTTTTGTATCAAACTACGTGAATGAATGCTAGACATTTATATATACACATATAGAAAGAAGGGTTTAAATGAAAAGCCCATTTTTTTTTAAAAATGTGAGAAGAGATTTCAATCATTAGATGAGATTTTTCAATGGTCAAGATCTTAAAAAAATATATATAAATACAGAAAAAACTGTGACTAATTTTCAAGATGTCATTTTACATTTTTTTAATCAGTTTATCGGTTAGTTTTTGTCAAATGTGATTAATTCATCAACTAGTTTATCAGCTAACATTTAACTTATCAATTAGTTTATCAAATTTGGACTTAAAAATGGTACTTCTTTAGTTGTTCTATCATTCTATAAAATATACTGTTTACATATGTGTTGGTTCAAATAAGAAGTCTAAATATCGTGAGAACGTAAGTTCATATATGATTAATGAAAAAATCTATCTAAATATGTATATGTCAACTGATGTTACAAATTATTCATACGGTTTTACATATGTTCTGTAATGGTATGTAGAAATTTAATTACAATTAATAAATGCAAAATATGTACACAATACACTACAATGGAATTTATACATCGATTCGATGCTGCTAAGATTCCTTTTCTGCATAAGTAACAGTACCATCATTGACGTCATGAAGAAAATGAAAGTCCTGATAATCATGAATACATGAGCCGATTTGATGCATTGATTCGACATCTTCTTTGTACATTATATGCGCCCCACATCTTACAGCCTTTTTACCAAGCATCAGGGGTTCTGATATATTGATTAGAAGATTACCTTCACGATTAGAATCGTCATACGTCTGTTGTTGATATAAACTAAATGGTACGTAGACAATCCATATGCTCAACTTGTCATTTACTGCAAATGCATTAATAATATCAACCTCTAACTCGGGCATGAGTGTTGCATTAATTCCAAATTTGAACTTAATTTGGGTAGCGCAGGTGATTCTGACTCTTGGCCACTTCCCTTGAAACACACCACATACTACAAACCCCTTGATATCAGTATGCCATTCGGGAGGCAACTTCAATGATATATGGTTTCCAAGTTGTTGCTCTTTGAACCAGCTTGGAATCTTGCTTCCAGGAATACGGATACTTAACACATGATCGCCAGCAGCACATTTCTGTACTCATCACGAAACACGATCACACTTCAATAGAGTTGCTGACCAAGTATATATGAGAAATGCAACAATTTGGATAAGGCGAGGTTGTTTTTATAACCATATTAAGGATGTCTGTCGAGTTGATTATTTGTTAAAACTTAAGTCAATAACTAAAGTAAAATGATATACGAGAGATAGAGATTGGGTACCTTAACGAAGGATTGTTGCAACATCTTATCAAGATTCTCTTGATTCTCTAGGAGTCTCTCGCAACCGGGGAGAAATATCTTATGCAACGATACATACTCTTCTGTTAGATCTTCAATCTCTTCCAACGCGCTACAATTGCTTGCCTTCAACACTTGTATTCCTGATGGGAGCCCTTGAATATTTCGAAGATGTTGGCACTCATTCAACTCCAAGTGTTTAAGACGAGAAAGGTGAGAGATGCTTGCAGGTAAGTGGACTAATTTAGAGTTGTCACTAAGATATAATTCTTCTAAGGAGGAAAATGCATGAAAATCATTGGGGAAGTCGTGTTCTTCGATTTGTCTACAACTGAGATCAAGTTTTCTCAAGCAACACAACTTTGTCCAAGTATGAAAACTAATGATGTCTGATGGCCATAGACAGTTGGGATTCTGTGATCCCAGCCATAGCTCTTCTAATTTTTCCATGCTTCCCAGCTCCTCTGGCAAATGTTGTAGTGCCCTGCACTCTTGAAGATCAAGGACTTTGAGATTTTTTAACTCACAAATAGAGTTTGGAATAATCTTAAGATATGGGCATGCTCTAAGATATATATTCGATAGTTTTTCCACACGAGAAGAGACCTCTGGGAATTTTTCAAGCATAAAGCAAGAAGAGAGGATAAGAGTCTCCAAAGATTCCATCTCAATCATGGATGGGAGATACTTGAGATTATAACAACCCGTCATGTTTAAGTAAGCAAGCTTTCTGAGAGTTCCAAGAGACTTATGAACCTCCATCAAATTGGTGCAGTCGTACAAAATCAAACTCTCAACATTTGGAGCCCCCGAGACATCTGGAAAACTTTCTATGCATCCCAACCATTGAAGGTGAATGAATTTCAAGTTTGGCAAAAACTGACAACAAAAACAAATACGAACAAATTATCATCAAGGTTAGACATAATTGAATACAAATAAAAAGTAGTTGATTTATTTTCGTAAATGTCTATGAATGACAAATTATGAATAACTTTGTACCTTATACCCTATCCATAAATGTTCAATGTTGCCATATTCTATTTCAAGCCCGACAAGCTTACGCAGGTTTCCTACAGGCAGAGAAGAAAATGGGTACTCATACCATGTAAGCCATCGTAACTCATCAGGGAGAGTCGTAGGTTTAGTAGAAGTGAAGTCGTGGTAAATATTAAGTAGCCGAATACTCTTCATGTTCTTAAAAACATCATTACTATAACCCCCGATCTCATCGCACATACCCTCATCAACGTATGTGAGCACTATGGCTTCAACTGCTTCTAGGTCCTGCAACAAAGTATTGAACTAAGGTTAAACAATACTCATTCCAAATAATTTTTGTTAAGAAAGAGTAGCTTTTAAGCCTTTTATAAAGAAAAAGACTATTACCTTGTTTCTCGAAATGAAATCATGAATTTCTTCACATTTCCATAGCCTGCTATTTGGGTAACTCTTACGAACAATTTCCAAGCCCATCTCTTGGATGACATCATGCATGTCTATACGCTTGTTTGAAACAGTTATGAGAGATTTTTCGATAAGAGTACTAATTCCTATCGCCGCATCAAAATCAAAGCTATCGAGTATTCTAGTCACTGTTTCTTCATTATGGCCCTTGAAGAAACATGCAATGTCTAGGAATATTCTTTTATCATCATCACAAAGCCCATCAAAACTTACCTTCAGTGTCTCAAAAATCTCAATGTTTGGTGTTTTGGCTAATCTATTTAAAGCACTTTCCCACACACCTACATCTCTTTTACGGAAGAAACAGCCTAAAACTTTCAGGGCTAGAGGAAGACCGCCAGTGTAGCGTATTACACGATTTGACAGTTCCTCATACCCATCCGGAGGGCTATTTTCCCGAAAAGCATGCCTACTGAAGAGCTCAATAGCATTTTGCTTAAGTAAAATAGTAGGCTTGTAAGTGGCGTTTGTATCTGATAACAAATGCTCGTTTCTAGTGGTTATTATGATCCTACTTCCTGCACCAAACCACTCATGCGTTGCAGCTAGGAACTCTAATTGCTTTTCATCATCCACATCATCAAGAACAATAAGAACCTTCTTATTACAAAATCTTGTTTGTATCAATTCGGCTCCATCTTCTGGATCCGTAATATTGAATTCGTGGTGCATAGCAAGAACATCTTTAAGAATCTTTCGTTGCAAGGTGCATATATCTTTTTTACTATTTTCTCTAACACCTTTAACGAAGCTACTACCCTCAAACTTATAAGAAATTCTTCTAAACAAAGCTCGGGCAATCGTTGTCTTACCAATTCCTCCCATTCCACATATCCCTACCATGCGCACCTCATCGGTTGCTTCTGTACCCAGTAATGTATTCAATTCATCGATACGAGATTCAATATCGATTAGATTTTTCTCCATACCACAAGGTTGTCTATCACCCGAAATCTCTTGAACAATCTTGTTGATAAATAAAGATTCACCCCTGAACTTTTAAGAGCATTGTTAGCAAGTTAACTGACACGCAAATTGTAGAGCTGACAGATTCAGAATGAGCCATAACTTAGGGTCGTTTCAATCGAAACTTTCATAAATGAAACGACACACAAATCATGATTTCTACTTCACTAGCAGTGATTACCATAGCCTTGACAAGATTACCTTCAAGTTCTATATACAGAAATGTAGGAAATCTAAGTAACTGAAGCAACAGATGTAGAAAAACTAACCCATTGACTGCAGAGATATGCCAGCCAGATAAATTACCAGCTGCAGCTAAAGCCTTTCTCCAGTTGCTCACTTTATCCATCTCTTCCCTAAACTTCTCCTCATGTTGCTGAAAGGCCGTGGCGTAGTCTTCTTTTTGTCCTCGCACATCGGATGGATCCACATGGTAGAACACCGGTAACACCTTTTGTCCCGTCAGATCTTTACATTCCATGATTTTGGTAAGCTCATCCAGACACCAAGAAGAGTTGGCATAATTTTCAGAAAACACCACGACGGAAAACCTCGATTCCTCGATGGCTTTGAGGAGTTCCGAAGAGATGTGATTTCCTCTACGGAGCATCTCGTCATCTTTGAACACACGAATGCCTTTCTGAACCAGAGATGTATGAAGATGATCAACGAAGTTGTTTCGAGTGTCTTCGCCTCTGAAGCTTAGGAAAACGTCATATGTCCATCCTCCAGTCGGTACAGACGAAGATGAAGAAGACGCCATTGACGTCCAGGGTTTTCAAGATGTTGAATTGGTAAAATGCAAAAGCCCAGAAAGCAATTGCTTAGATCAACGCGTCTTATGTGAAGGGGGGGCATGGCATGGCATGGCATGGCATGACATGACATGACATGACATGACATGACATGACATGACATGACATGACATGACATGACATGACAGATGTTCAACGTTTGGTAAGACATGACAGGATTGGACAGAACAGGACCGAACTGGTTAAAATGACCAATTTACCCCTAGTGACATTTCAAGTACATAACTACATATCAGTCGAAACAATAGGCAAAATCGAGTGTGTTGAGGAACAGTAGGCAAAACAGTAGGCAAAATCCAAACAGTAGGCAAAATCGATTACCAGCTATGAAGATCGATGGAGATGGAGGAGAAGGTAGATGCTGTGAAGAAATCGATGCTATGAAGAAGACGACGAAAYAGTAGGCAAAATCCAAACACCTGGTTCATGATTCAACTAAAAATACAAAATCAATAAAAAAAATCATTTCGAATTTCATCAAAAACAACGAGCTCCAGTTCGTGAAATCCAAATAGAACACATAGAAAATCGAGAGAAATTGACCGTACTTTTGTTCTTGGATGCTGTGAAAATCGATGGAGATGGAGGTCTCCAGTGAAGAAATCGATGGAGATGGAGATCGATGGAGATGGAGGTGGACTGTGAAGAAATCGATGGAGATGGAGATMGATGGAGATGGAGGTGGACTGTGAAGAAATCGATGGAGATGGAGATCGATCGAGATGAAGGTCTCCTGTGAAGAGATCGATGGAGATGAAGGTCTCATGTGAAGAAATCGATGAAGATGGAGATCGATGGAGATTGAGGTGGACTGTGAAATCGATGGAGATGGAGATCGATGGAGATGGAGGTGGACTGTGAAATCGATGGAGATGGAGAAGAAGAGGACAAAGATGGAGATGGAGATCGATGGGTATATTTGTCAAATATGTCTTGTTCCACTTAGTTCTAAGGGGGTGAGGGTGAACAGGCTTGTCCCATACGTGTTCCACTTAGTTCCATTTAGTTCCACTTAGAAACACACCAAACATGGGACAAGTGTGTCATGTCCTGTCCTGTCCCACCCTGTTCCACGTACCAAACGCACCCTAAATTATTATCCGAGTAATTGCTTCCTTACCAAGCAAGATTACTTCATCCGGATGAACGAGTATCAAGAATCTTATTCAGTAAAACGAGAGAAGGACCAAAATTTTTATGCAGCAAGTGATTGCGACGACAATTATCATGGTAAGCGTTTATCGGGTAAATTGTTGTATATTATGTCGTTTTGGTGGACTAAAATCTTACCCGTTAAATACATAATAGTGTTAAATTTTACCGGTAAACACTTATCGAGTAAGTGTTTGATAAATGGCCACAAAGTAAATAAATACCACAAAGATACTAAGACAATACAGCAAGATATATTTCTATTCTTTTCATCTCAATTTTATTTTAGTTATTTGTTTTACAAAGTATTTTATTATATTAATATGGTCCAAAATAAAATAACAACCGAAAAGACAAAGAAAACCAACACTTCAAAAAGCAAATCCCTCTCCCTCCTCAGCAAATCTCCCTCCGCAACCTACATAGACCAATACGTTGACATGGGCCACCATTGGTTCCGTCTTAAAAGGGGGAAAATATGTTTCTGAAAGGTGTCACCGTATTATTTTGTTAGGTGGTCCATATAGTTTTTGAAACCGAAGCTTTGACACAAGTTTTTATGGGCATAGTTGGTAAAAGTTGCTCACTTTATATAAAAACCCGTACATTTGTCTAAAGAAAATCGTTTTCAACTTAAATTTTGGTGTTTTTAATATTTTTAGAAAAAAAAATATTATGTGTGGAGTCAAACATGGGTCATTTCTATTCAAGGACAATAAACCGGCCAACCGATCTATACTAATATTGCTAAATCTCTTATAACCATTTCAAATAAACGGCTAGATATGCATGATCTCCTTCATGAAATGGGTTCGAAAATTCTTCGTGCAGGCTATGGGGGAGTGAAGCATCATTATTGCAGGAAGCAAGATTCCAAGTTGGTTGAAAGAGCAACTTGGATACCAAATAACACTGAAGTTGCTTCCTAAATAGTCGGAATTGAAGATAATGGGAAGTTCGTTCATGACCCAGAGGTGGATTGTATTAATGCATCTGCAGCAACCGAGAATGGGAATGTACGGATTGCCTATACACCATTCAGCTATTTTCAGCAACAGATGTATTATGATTATTTTGAACGGGAAGATTGGTCGCTTTTCGTTGAAAATAGTCTTTTTATTAGCTTATCTACATAGGGTGGTCATAAGATTTTCAGATGTGGGGCAAACTTAGTGTACCAAGAAGGTGTGTGGAATCGATCCAACAAATTGAAACATGCATATATGATGATTACTCGAAGTCCGATTGGCTTCATCGATATAACAATTCTTTCATGTACCGAGAAAATTGAAGAGGCTAAGAGCGTCCATCCCTAAATTCCCTTAATTGGTAGTATACATTTTGCATTTGTTTAATGCACTTGAGCACTTTGAGATATCTCTAAAACTCTTGCAGGCTATCAGAGGGTCTAAGCGTGCAGTGGTTGTTCTCTGTAAAAATTATGCCACTCAGCAAAGCAGTACCCTTTTAGTGATCACTCAGCTGCTTTCAACTAATCTGTTTTGCAAGGTCCAACTGGTTGGATGGATGGTCAGACTTCTAGAGAGAAGTGACAAGCAAATTGAAGCTTTATAAAACGCATTTTTAATCTTGATTACTTTATAGTTATTGTAGTAGTTTGCAACTGAATGTCTTCCGGAAGCGGTTTTAGATTGCAACCAATTTATGAAATTAACAAGACTTGAGGCTTTCTGGAAAGCATAAAGAAAATTCAACATCATAACAAAACAACATGCATTTAGAGGTTGGGGATGAAATCGGTTGGATCAAAGGCGGGGGGTGGGAGGTGGTGGTGACAGTCGCCAACGATGGCAGGTGGGAGGTGGTGGTGACAGTCGCCAACGATGGCAGGTGGGAGGTGGTGGTGACAATCGCCAGCTAGCAGGTGAAGGTGGGAGGTGGGGCGGTCGATTGCTAGCGGGTGCAGATGGGAGTGGTGGTGACAGTCGGCTAGGTGGTGGTCGGCGATTTGGGTGGTGCTGGTCGGAGATTTGGGTTTGCACGCTCGATGGTGGTGGTCGCTGATTTCGATGAAGAAGGAAAATACAGATCTAGCTTGAGTCTGCCTGATTTGGGGTTGTTATAATGCAGAAAACAACGACGAATTTCCGAGGGAAATTCCGTTGCTAATATTATGTTAAAAAATAATTTATCAATTAGTTAATAATTTAAAAAATAATTTAATTAGTTAATAATTTATTAATTATTAATTAATAAATATTTGTTATTTGATAAATATAATTAATAATTTAATTAGTTATTAATTATTAACTAATAAATATTTGTTATTTATTAATATATTTTTGTTTTTTGATAAATATAGTTAATAATTTAATTAGTTATTAATTATTAATTATTAACTATTAATTAATTGATATTAATAATTTATTAATATATTTGTTATTTGATTATTAACCGAATAAATCTCAATAAAGCCTATTAAGACGCACTATAATTGAATAAAAATCATTAAGACCCAATTAAATTGAATAAGGCCCATTGAATAAAGCCAACGGGTTTGTATACATATAACATATACACATGTATATATAATACGCACATTATCTAGACATTCGTATATACACATACATTTAAACATATAACATCTTATACATGTATCTTCAATAATATATACATAGATGCAATCTTGGTTAACAACTAATAAACATATATTGTATACATATGTATATAACACGGGTCAGGGGTATATATACATATAATACATACACACATATATATATATATATATATACATAAAAGACATACATTATCTAGACATTCACATATACACATACATATATACATATGACACCTATACATAAACACACACATATACATATAACACATATACATTTATACATATGACACCTACATGTAAACATATGTATAAATAACACATAAAAAATGAGAAAATAAGAAAAATAGGACAATCTCTCGCTGATCAGCGAGGGATCAACGCGGAATTATCCTATTTTTCTTATTTTTTTCATTTTTATGTGTTATATGTACAAATGTTTATATTTATGTGTCATATGTATAATTGTATACATGTATATGTGTTATATGTGTTTTGGTTGTTAATCGCGATGTGTGTTATATGTACACATATGTATGTGTTATATGTATATATACCCGTCGGTCCGCGTTATATACACATGCATACACGACGTGTATATATGTTTGTTGGTTGCTAACCATGATTGTATCTATGTATATATTGTTGAAGATACATGCATCAGATGCTGTATATATGTTTAAATGTATGTATATATGCGAATGTCTAGATAGCATGTGTGTTATATGTAGCCAAAATTGTAGCCAAAAAGTTCGATGATTATGTTGTAGAAGGGAAAGTTAAATATGGATTGAAAAATTCGTTAATTATTCTTATCTTTCTTCTGAAAATTTGTGTTTTGTAGCTAGTCTAAATAAGTCTATTAAACCAAAAAATGTTAAGGAAGCTTGTACAAATACTAATTGGATAAATGCTATGAACGATGAAATGGAAGCATTACATAGAAATGGTACATGGGTTCTAACTGATTTACCCCCGGGTAGAAAACCTATAGGCTGTAAATGGATATATAAAATAAAATATAAGTCTACTGGAAAAATAGAAAGGTACAAGGCTAGACTTGTAACAAAAGGATACAGTCAGAGAGAAGGTTTTGATTATGATGAAACTTTTTCTCCTGTTGTTAAAATGGTAAGTGTTCGTTGTATTATATCCTTATTTGTTCAAAATAAATGGAATTTGTTTCAATTAAATGTTAATAATGTCTTTCTATATGGAGATTTAATAGAATAAGTTTACATGAATTTTCCTGGAAGTTATTATAATTCTAATGATAAACATGTTTGTAAACTTGTTAAATCTTTATATGGGTTAAAACAAGCTCCACAGCAGTGGTATACGAAGCTTTCTTCTTGCCTAATTGAAAATGACTTTATCCAAAAATGATTATTCCCTGTTTACCAAGAAAACTGAATCTGTTTTTCTTATTCTATTAGTATATGTGGATGATATTGTCATCACTGGTAATAATCAAGTTGAAAATGAAAAGGTGAAAACTTTCTTAAAAGGTAAATTCCTTATAAAAGATTTAGGGAAATTGAAATTTTTCTTAGGAATTGAAATTTTAGACTGTGTTAATGGAATTTGTATGTCTCAACGAAAATATTGTTTAGAATTGCTAAATGATTTCGGATATTTAGGGTGTAAACCCTGTAATACTCCCATGGATAGTAACTTGGTTATTTCGAGTTCTAGTAGTAATAAAGATACTCCTTTATCTTATTATAATGGTTATCAAAAGTTAATCAGTAAATTAATTTATCTTCTTGCTACTAAACCTGACATTGCTTTTGTTGTTCACTGTCTTAGTCAGTTTATGCATTCTCCTTAACAATCTCATATAAACCTTGCTCTTCGAGTTCTCATGTATCTAAAGTCTTCTCCAGGTAAAGGTGTTAGTTTTACTAGATCTGAAATTTTTTCTTTAACAGCCTTTGTTGATACTGATTGGGGTAAGTGTTTATCTTCTAGACGTTCGGTAACTGGTTTCTGTTTGTTTCTAGGATCAATGGTTTCTTGGAAGAGCAAGAAACAAATATTGTTTCTCGTTCTTCGGTTGAATCTAAATATAGAGCAATGGCTTCTGCTACCTGTGAAATATTATGGGTTTTAAAAGTTCTTACATATTTAAATATTACAAATTTATTACATGTATCTTTACATTGTGATAATAAGTCTACCATTCAAATTGCTAATAACCTTGTTTTTCATGAACGAACTAAACACATAGAAATAGATGTTCATCAAATCAGAGAAACTATTAGCAAAGGATTATTACAAATTGAAAAAATTCTGTCTTCTAAGCAACCAGCTGATATCTTTACTAAAACTCTTGGAATTAGTCATCATAATTACTTATGTTCTAGTTACGAATGATTGATTTGCTCAAAAGTCAAAATTGAAGGAGGATGTTAAAATATATAGTTTCATTCTACAATCTTAACTTTTTGTATTTCTTATTTGTAAGGGACTAAAATTGATAAAGTTTGGAAGTTGGTTGCTGAAGTACAAGGGTTGCGCCTCTTTTTCTGGAAAAGATAAAGAGTAGCGGAGCAAGTTGTTTATTTCTTGAGGGACCTTTCCTGTCATTCGTTGGTTAATATAAATAGGGTTTATAACCCTTTTATTTTCATAATTTTCAAATCTCTTTTTCTTTCTTTTGAGAAGATACTCTCTCTAAGCTCTCTCATAACCGTTAGCTATTACGTCGCATAGATCTAGGGTTTCTTGTTCTTGTATTATATTAAATTTAAGAATTAGTTTGTATTCTTTTGTTTATATTGTATGAGCTATGAAATCTTTTGGTTTATATTTTTTAACACACCACCATCGCCTATTGTGCGTCTGAGTCTAACTTCGCTCTTTGACTCTCCATCTGATTTTGTTCAAGATGTTCTCCTTCTTATTTAGTATTTACTTATTAGTGTTTTGTTGATTTCTTGAATGCTTGAAGATTTCTTGAATCTTAATGTTTTGTTGCGGAATGTGTTGATTAATGCTTATTTGAGTGATTTTCTTAAACTTAATTGATATTTCATTTGGTATTTTGGTTTATTGGTCATTGGTTATTGGGTATTGGTTAGGGTTTAGATTATTTGCTTATTTGATTATTTGAAAATTACTAGTATAATTCCAAGACTATTACAGAGTGTCAAACACAAAATATAGGATCCTAATTGCTTTACAAAATTAGACAGACCCTGCTTGCAACGATCAATATACTCTTGAGTATACATTCCAGTGATTCCTTCCAAACATTTTACCAATAAAACGATATTGTTAAAGGGTAGTATATCCTGAACCTCTAAGACTTGGGTATAATGTGTTACCTTACCTACGTCTATTGTACATATGAGGTCCAGTCCTCTAACCTTGAATTTTTCATAGGATCAAAGAACTATGTTCCAACTTTCGATGTTAAGATTATGCAAAGATAGTTCGTAATGTCTAGTAATAACATCATTTAAGTACAACAATCAATAATCAAACCCAAATAATAAAAGTAAAACAGAGGGAGAGAATGGCATTTTGACTCTCCGTCCAAGGTATCCAAAACCATTGGATCGGCGTTGTTTATATAAGACATACATTTGTTTGGTTTAATTAATTGACTTATGAGACCAACAACTGTACGTTCTATAATAAAATTACGCACATTTGTTTGGTAAGAATAGCTTAAAAATAGTTAATTATATGGTTTTATAAAAAAATATAATCATTTGGTCTCTAATTAAGAATAAAGAATTAATATACTTTTATACGAGGATAACTCAACGACTTGCACTTGAAAGAATGTTAGTAGCATAAATCAAATTCATAAAAAAAATAAAAACTATAATGACCAAAAATATCTATACTATATTATAAAGCATTTGACAAAAACTTAAAAACCGTTTTTTATACATAAAGTATCGTTTATTGATGCATATTACTTAAAATTTAAGATTACAAGTAAATTGTGCATATATACAACTTATTAAAAACTTCATGTTTGAATTTGTGTAACTAATTGCAGATAAACATAATCAAATACTGGATATGTATCTCATGTTAAATATAAAAATTTAAAATAAATTTAGAATAATTATTGAATTATAAAAAAAATACTAATTATTATCTTTATAAAAAAAACTACATCATTAAATCAAGAATAAATGGCTTCATTATTAAATCTAAATTATAATATAAAAAAATTGAATTAGAGAAATTACACAAAGAAAAACAAAAAACTTTAAAACTTTAATTTGATACTAAATTCGATATTTTATAAAAAAAATTATTATACCTTCAAATTTATATTTTATTCAAAAAAATAAAAACATTATCGTTTTTTCAGTACCACATAAAATGTATTATAATATCGACGTAAACAAGAATAAAATAAAACATTAAAATCGAGATGTATGTCTTGCGCGAATACCATTCTAGTATATCAAAAAACAATTTGTAATAAAAATATTTTAATTATTTGTTAATAAACAGTAATTAACTTTTTTATCAAAAAATATGTAGATTTATTAAATCAAAAATACTAAAAAATATATTTAATAAATCAAAAAAACTAAAATACCCCTCAATTTAATTGAGAAGTTATAACATATTTAGTCTCGGGAACGAAAACAATAATAAATTACAAACCATATTATATTACTACTTGATTGTGTATCAAAAAAACTTTAAATTGTCGTCGATTTATATCCCAAACTATCAAGATTTCATTTAGAAAACCAAGTTGAATTTAAATGTGCAAATAATTTGGCAGGTACATCATGTCCAAAGTTGAATTTAAAGTTGGTGTCTCCGTTAGAGATGGTCTCAGACATCATAAATCGATTGAGTCTCCGTTAGAGATGGTCTTAGACCTCATAAATCGATTGACTTATATGTAAGGGAGTCGTTGATTGATTTACATTACGTGTATAGGCATGCATATGTTACTGAGTTCAACAAGATGGGTTGGGTTTTGATGAGAAGGGAAGTTATAGTAAGAAGCACAAGAATAGATCACATTTGAATCAATCATAATCAAATGTCAACACTAATAAAGTGCATTGAGATGTACCGGATCAATTTCCTTCTAAAACACAGTTCATATAACTGTCAAGCTTGGGATCAGTCCTAGTATTTTTTGTCAGGGTCGGTACCGGTTGGCCCAGTTACAAGCCACTTAAGATTGTGACCCATTCAGCCTAGGACCGATATTTGGTCATCTCTAATTAGGGAAAAATAGGAGTTAAGGTTAACCAAGTTAGGAAAAACCACAGGGATGATCTTCGCAACTATTGCACTTGAAAACCTGATCAATAATTTGCAGAAGAATGAGAGGCATATTTATAGTTTGCTAAGTTGGACATAAATGCAATCTATTTGCTCTTAAAGCATAAATCCATCATCCACCTCTACTTAACAACAACAAATCATAAAGAGAAGCATGACTCTACAGTCTCATACTATATAATATATATATATAAAAGTTAAAAAGGATTCATAAATTTTACGAAGGATTTCTTAAGAACAAAAATGGCACACAACTAAGTTTGCAAACAAATACACAAGCAGACAGACCATTAAAGATTAACAAAGAGCCAAGACAGCAGACATATCTCTTAGATTCACGCTACGAAGGAGAAAAGGTGCAGGATTAGATTGCGTACGTCTAGCTGTCGAACAAGTGATGTGCCATCGCTTTTCATTAATTCTGCCATTTTCTCTCTGCTACAAACACAGGAAACAACCAACAAAGATTTAATCAGATACTAATTTTGACTTGGAATTGGTCCAAACATGTTCGGTTTTGCAACTACATGATGCTCTTATGTGGTGGGAAAGGGATAAAAGAGTAATTGTACATTTCACATTTTTTTCAAGAGCAAATTAAAGGTTTTGAAAGTGCATTACACAAAATAGGAATCAACAGATATCAGGCATTTTCATTCAATTTTCCCTTTTTCAATTACAATGTAGCTAACACTTGTCACTATTTCGTTGAAGGCAAAATAACTTTATAAATTTCAAGGTAGAAAGGTAGCTCATTCGTCAAGCACAAATCATACATGAACTCCTTAGCTCGAACAACACGAGTGGTATAAATGAAAAGCTGGTTGGAAAGGATTTAAAAACATTTGAAATAAGACCCACCTAATTATGCTAAAAGGGTACATCTATGACTATTGGGGTGTGTTTGGTATGCAGACGGGTCTGGACGGGTGAGAGTAAGGTAAAAGGGTGAAAGAATTATGAAGGGTTTTAATTTGACACGAGTGGTTGAGTAAATTTTCAATCTTGTTACATGTTTCTGGTTTTGTTGCACCTATTTTTGTGGGACAAAAGAATGCATTTTTGTCTAACAAAAGGTCGGATGATGTCGCATCAAATATACCAAATTTTTGTACCTTCTTGTCCCTTCCTGTCCCTTATACCAAACACACACTTATGGAACTTCATATCATGCAACTGCAAACTCTATTAACACTCACAAAACCTCAATTTGTACCCTTAAAGAAAATGACTAAAAGATCAAATCCAGGCTACTCTAAGGCATGCATCAAATCAGATCTTAAGAAGTAACAAATAGAAAGAAAGCATTATCTAGGAAGTGAAGGTTTGAAAATAACACCACACTTGAAATTTACCTCGGTTGTCACTTCCCTTTGTGGTCTGCTGCGCCTGAGGTGAGGATCGCTTGAGACGAGGTGAACCATGCCTGCCATTTACAGCAGCAGGCAAAGAGTGTCTCTTTTTCATGTAGGCTTCCTTCCCTTGCATATCTGGACTTGATTTAGGAGAGTTATTGGCAAGGGCTTTTGCTCTTGCAGATTCCGTCACCTGCATGTAGCTCGGTATAGAATTACTGCTGCTGCTATCTCTTGGTTCCTGATCAATTTGATCAGAACTTTGTGAACCAAAAGAATTCCTCCGCTTTCCAGGTTTCGGGTCTCTAGGCAAATTCTCCAAGCTACTTCTTAAACTAGAGCTTACAGGGGACTTCTTACTATTTGACCACGACTTGGGTTTTTGACCAGATACCTTTCTATCGGTTCTAATCTTGTTGTTAGTTGAGATCTGGCTAGAAGGTGTTTCTTGGGATTCAGGGGCTGTTATATGACTTCTTGGAGATGCTTCTGGGGATAATTTGTCCACCTGATGATGCATCTCAGTTTCTATCTTTTTGTGCATGTTAGACTTGTAAACTTGACGACCAGTTACGGGTTCCAGCTCAATGTCTGCATTAGATGCGTTTTCCTCAAATGGTTGTGATACATCAGTGTTATCATCGGGTTTCGAATGTTCACTGTCACCACCAATGTTACCATCATATTTTTCTGAAAAAACTGAAATGGAGTGAGTCAACTCAGTCCCTAGGAGAGCATGGTCTTCAGCCTCTTTATCTATTACTTTAGCCTCTTTGTCATATTCAATGTTTCCAACCTCTGATGGATCTGGTGAGTCTAGCATGGATGTGATGGACAGTTCGGTTCCACATTCTGAGCCACCAGTTTGACCCACTCTTAAGCTTTGATAAACCAATGGTTCCCCTGGTTCAATGTTGCTTGTCGGGGTTGAATTTTGAAGATTGGAAAGACCATTATCTGCAGGGGAATCCACCACGTGGTCCTGATTGGAAGAACCGACTGATCTCAATGAAATGCTCTTAGAAGTCAGCTCTTCAAACCGTGAATGAGCAGCAATGAATGCTGGATTACTTGCCTTCCTTGATCCAAACCCAGACTTCCTTCCTTCAGAATCTGCTTGTTCGGTGGTGACCCTTTTTGCAGGACGTTTGGGCTGTTCAGCCTCCGCTACAGACTTCTCAGGAGATAAGGTATGTGCAATTTGTGATCCAATACTTGAACATTTGTTTTCATCGGAGAGAAAATCCAACTTCACATCTGTTAATTCACAATTAGGGGGCATCGGTTTTCCACCCTGGCTTTTCATATCATTAACCTTGCTTTGTTCCTTTCTCCGTGAATGTGGCTCCATAACTTCAGGAGAAGACACAGAATTCCATCTCTCCAACCATTTCCAAGCTGAATCGTGCTTCGAAGGATCACATTTGATGTTTATTGGTTTGGTCCTCGGTGTATATTCCAGTAGCTTGTATAAAAATTAGATTATTACCTCCTCTATCCACTCGAGTACTCCCTCCATCCCACAATAATTGTCTATGTTTCAATCTAAGTTTGTCCCAAAATAAGTGTCCACTTTTAAAAAAAGATGGTTATATCTTACTAAATTTCCAATTCTACCCTATAATTTTGATGAACGAATATTTAAGAGTTGATGAGAGAAATTCATTAGTGGAATAATTATACATTTCTAAAACTGTGGGGCTTTGATTAAGGGTAAAATTGTCATTTAGTTGATTAAAAGGAGTAATAATTATACATTTCTAAAATTGTTTGTTTTTCATTCTGGACATTTAATTTGGGATGAAAGGGGTAAATTGAAAAGGCTATGATAAATATCAAGTTCCAGTACCTGGCTAGCAAATCTGTTACTGAGTAGCTTCTGAATGGAGATATATGTTGGATGTGGTTTGGTTGTAGAATCTTGTTTCCCCTGGAAGAAAACAAAGAGCGCACATAATTAATGCATGAAGTAAAAGAGATGTAACAAATTGTTTCCTCACCATCAGCATAATAGGTTTTGCTAGATAGTTGGTTTCCCAATAATGATGATATCAAAAACTACTCACGAACATCAAAGCACATGAGGGAAAGGAACCCAAACTTATCATATTTATTCAGATCGTCAATTTAAAAGAGATGATAGTGGACTCATCACTCGTGTGCATCAAATTCAACGATGGCACAACTTGCAAATGAACCTTAAGTACGAAAGTAAATTATTCATTTAAGTTTTTGAAAAAAAAACATCGCATATAACATGCGATAATATACCAAGATGGAAACTTCTGAATTTATTGTTTGAAGGATTAATATAATAATAATATTCAGTTGAAATGCGATGGAGACTACTAGTATTGAAGGTATGTAAACAGTGGTGTGCCATGGTGATAAGGCTGGACTCCCATGCCCACATTTAACCCCCATGGAAGTTGTTTAAGATGAGGTGCCACCAAGGGGTGCTGAGGCGTGCTAAGGCAGCACCAAAGCAGGAAGCACCCACAGCAGATTTTGGAGGTCGACTTCAGGCTTGCCCTTGCAAACAAGATGACAAATTTCCTATGTCCACTAAAGTTAAAACATGTGAAAGTAGGCAAGGCTTCTTATGACAATATAACTAGTATGATAATTTAATCAGCCATCATTGTGTCCTTTCCTACAACCCTACTGGATATAAATATAAAATAACAAACCACAAAGTTCTCAAGTTAAGGAGGCATATGCACTATGTTTTCCTATTTCTACTGCAGTTAAAGCATGTGAAAGTAGACAAGGCTTCTTATGACAAAATAACTAGCATGATAAGTTAATAAAGTCATCATTACATCCTTTCCTTATCCGTACTGAATTTAATATAGATTAACAAGCCATAAAGTTCTCCAAGGAAGGAGTCATGCACATAACAAGATAGAAGCTTTCCCTACAATTTTCCATGTTTAAACTATCCGTCTAAGTTCCCTTCATCTCACCGAACAAAGGGAGGTGATGTGTCATAAGGAAACATCTTTTAGAAGCAGGCACATGAAATGAATGGATATCAGTTCAGTGCAAGAATATAGATAGCTAGAACTTGGTAAAGCAAATAATAATAGTTGTTCTTCAGAATCAAGGGGAAAACTGTCGTATAAATGCCTAAAGAAAGTTAAATCCAAACATGATGAGAAACATCAAACTACAAGATAAAGGCAAACCCATAATAAGATGGTATATTAGATAACACCATCATAGTAAGAATAAGCAACAAATATCCAACCATTAATGAGTGACAAATAGCATAGAAAACAACATACAAGTTTTACCTTATATACAGAAAATGCACAAACATTTATTGAAGATTTTACTTAATAGCATAAACTATCAGTCATCGCACCATTTATGCAGGTGATGCAATGAAGAATATAACTAGGACACTTGGTATTAAAAAAACATACATAAAGATGATGTTTCCTATTTGTTTCAACATTAATGAATTACAACAGTACTCTAATAAGCATAACGCCTATGTTCAATACTCAGACAAAGGCTTGCCTTTGACTAAAAGATTGTATTTATACCACCTTTTTAACATGCAGTTTGTCTGTGACACTATTGCATTTTCTCAGAGATCAGGTATTAACAATATTTGAGATGGAAAACTACACAAAATTGGCAGGCATTTATGTTAATGTGCATATTTGGTCCAGTCAACAATCAGTTAAGAGACTCAGAGTGGGATGCTTGCTAAAGTTAACAGATGGTGAGGCCTCTGTATGACAGCCTTCATTAGATCAGTTGTAGCTATAAATAGATGACATTGTATAGTTTTTAAGAGGACAAGTTCTTGTAATTTTTCTTTGTAACTTCGAGAGAGTTGTAAAACTGAGAGACCTTTGTATTTCAGAAGAGAAAGAAAAAGTAATAAATAACAGTGGTTGTCGTGGAGTAGATTGTAAAACTGAGAGACCTTTTTATTTCAGAAGAGAAAGAAAAAGTAACAAATAACAGTGGTTGTCGTGGAGTAGAGTGGAGATTGAATTAATCTCCATTTCAAACCACATAACATTATGGTATTGCGTTTTGGTTAATTTTTTTATTTTCATGGTTTCTTAATTGATTAAAGAAAATACTGAATGTTGTTTACTTTAGCAATCAACTGATCATCATTATGAATTCATTCAGAATTGAATAGTCATCAGTTTCACAGTGAACTTGAATTAATATCCCTACAGCAAACAATAGAAAGAAACCAAAAAACAAAATTATAGAAGGCAAAAGTAGCACAATATGTACACAATCATTTTAATTGTGCATTTACATATGTCACAGAAGGTTAATCTTTCAGGGAATTTGGAACCGTTTCCAGCTTTCATATGCTTTTCATTTACCTTTTTTCCAAGAGACGATCTTTCAACAGACAGGTTAGCTTGACGAGCGCGAACAAGAGCTTGCATCTTGACGATTGACTGAATGCAACGCAAAGCTCCAGCAGCATGACAACGAACCAAATGCCCTCGCACAGCAGCTTGCAACTTCACAACTCCCTTAAGCCTCAGCAGTTCTCTCTCAGCCTAAACATTACAATTAATATAAAAAAATTAAACAGACATTATCTCAAGCAGGGTATCTTCACAGAAACAGCCGCTCAACCCTCTGGGATGGATGACAGATGACAGATCTACCTACATCCCATGCCGGACCTTATCTGTGGCTTTTGAGTGGAATATACCAGATTAGTTTGGTTTCGGCTTCTTTTGAGTAAATACTCACCTCCATCCCAAAAATAAGTGTCACGTTTCTATTTTAGTTTGTTTGCAGAATAAGTGTCTGCTTTTAAAAGTAAGTGCCTACCTTTCAATTCTACCATAAAGTATGAGATCTATAAATTCATTACTCCCCCTATCATTAAGGGTAAAATTGTCATTTAGTTAATTAAAAACTGTAATAATTACAGACTTCTAAAAAAACTGTGGCTTTCTTCGTTGTGGACATTTATTTTGAAAGGGAGGGAGTAGTACGATATGCTGGATGTAAACACATACCAAGAATTTCCTAACAGCAGCCTGAATAACAATGATGAATGTTTCATCAGAACTGGAATCATATTTAATAGCATCTCCATCAGCAGCTTTAGTCACCATATTAGACACCGTACTGCCCTTGATAGTTGAAGTTGACACCCGAGGCAATTCTTCTGTCCATTGTTTTGCAGAAGTTTTATCAGATATGGAAGAATTGGCGGGTGCTTCGGAGCTTGTAATAACAAGTTCTGAGATCTTATTCTCAGACGAAGGTATTTCAGTTACAACAGTGTTGCTTAGCACTCGATGCCCAGCAGATCTTTTACGAAAACTCCATCCGCTTTTATCAGAGCCTTTGTTCTGAAGTAAGTCACATAAGCTCACTTGAGTTAAAAGATACATACACATGTACATATACATGCTTAAGTATATGTAAGTACAGATGACACGCATATGTATAGATATATACATGTGTATATGTATGTGTGTGTGCATCTTGCAATTGACTGATCTCATATTTATAAGTAATGTATCAGAGAAGAATTCACTGAACAGGGAAGCACAGAGAAGCACTTGCACCAGCAAGTATTTGTGTTGTGCCGTGTGGGTGAGAGAGAGAGAGAGAGAGAGAGAGGTGAAAAATAAATGGGTATATCGTTGGCTTTAATTTCCCTTTATAGAAGGTATATCATGTAGGTTAGCATAATTAAGATAGGTCATATATTTCTCAAAGTATATGATAAACTACATCCTCAAAAGGGTAATTTCATCCATAGCATTTAAGTATTATATCATGTATTGTTTATCCACTTTTGCAAGCAGGAAAACAGATAGATGGCATCATATGCATTTTTGTACACAAAATATTAAAACAAAGTTGTCACTTGTCATCCACTTCAGGAGTAAAATGGACAGTCATGCTGCAGTAAAATAAACGTAGATGGATAGAGTAACATAGATATAGGAACTGCTCGCCAATACACCACATAATCACTTGTCACTCCCTTAAATGATCCCCATTCACATTCAAATTTGTATGAAGGTGTGAAAACAGGTGATAGTTATATGTATGCTAAGGTAAATCGAAAAGGCTACCATCATTTCTCCATTGGGGAGAACCACTTATTGAGATGAAAGATCAACTCTTCTCATTTCCAAGAAGTGATGAAAGCCACTCTAGCATAGTACATATAAGTGGACTTCAAACCATGACGAGTGGTTGAGTGTAAGCTATTATTTTATTAACACTAGGCCCTTCTTGTTATATTCTGGATTCTTTTCACATACAGCATTAGTTCCACTTATAGAAGACAAAGGCATCAAAGGGGAAGAGAGAAGTAAAGGCGAGTTTAAAGAAGGATCTTAGAGTGTCTAGGGTTGGGCCCCTTGTCGGGTAAGTTCCGACCCACACGAAAGGCATGCCCCACCTTCGGCATCCCCCTCCTTGCGTTAAGGTAACAACTTCAGGCATCAAGATAAAGTTAAAAGAGTGAAGAGTGGATAAATACTTGATATGAAATAGACCATGGTTTCTAGTCAAAGACACAAACAAAAAAAAGTTCACAAAAGAAATACATTTGTGTTATCAATGGTTTGCCACACTAACATTAAGTTGACATTACGAACTAATATGCAAACTTCCCAAGTTTAGCTAAGATTAGCTAAGAAGTAACCAACCATTGTCTTCTTTGTAGTAAAGAATGCAAAATATTTTTTACTGTAATTTAATAATTCAAAGCTTATAAATGGAAGATCATTACTAATCTCTAGTTGCTATTCCAGTGCTTAAGAACAATAAAACTATTAATGATAGATCACTAAGTAAAAACTGGAAGAGAAAAACAATATTCCGTATGAAAACAATACTATGGACATAATAATGAAAATATTGACAGCTGTGTCACTGTTTATTTAAGAGTACAGTTCATCCCCCGTTGTAAAAGTTAATACTTCTTTCAGCTAGACCCGGTTTATCTTTCATTATGAATTGTCTAGTACAAACAGCAAAAAGAATGATCAATGGAAGTTCTAGGTGTAGACAAAAAAATCTAATGACAATAATTTCTAAGTTCTGCATCCTGCCACCATATTCTTTTAGATCTTCATCCAACAGCATTATCAAAAATGCAAGCCCAGGCAATGCATCAAACAAACCAAGGCACAAGTGTTACTTTCGCTTAAATGCCTCTTAATAAATTGGTAAATGTTTGCTTCAAGCAAACCACATTTAGATTCCCCAGAAAACAACATAAGATTGAATAGGGATAAGATTTTGTGGCTTCCAGTTCATCATTAACATAACTTTAATGTGATCGCCAAACTTAGCACTAAGCATACCCTTTTTTCCTTTTCTGAAGAGAAGGAATAACATCATTAATTTTACTTAATTCAATCACCACGCATATTAGTACCCTAAAACCCAAACACACATACGCACAAATGAAACGCACCTTAAGTTTAAGTTGTGTGTTTTTTAATTATTTTCAACTCTCACGCATCATTTCTATTAGATAATACCACCTGATCATATAGTGTAGCGGCACTGGAACTTGATTTAACTTCAATCAATCAATGCAAATATTAGTACCCCAAAAAACCCAAACACAACCACATATAAATCACGCATTTAAGTTTAAAATAGAGCATGTTATTGAATTCCTTTTGCTCACACCCCCCACAACCATCCATAAACAAAACATCTCGAGTGTCTAACATCAAAATTTTGATCAAATACCAGCAATCAACTACCAAACACAAATCATGAGCTCAAACCCCCACCTACACAAACACACAAAGAATCATAAACATGCATATCCAAACAACCAATCCCACATATCATCATACTCCTGGCACGAAACAATATACAAAACAAAACATTTTCGGTCATGTGATCCGACATTTCCGGTTAATCAAAAACACACTGAATTCCAGGTTCACAAGAAAGAATATGAATATATCACAATTAACATAATGAAATACCTCAGAAGAAGCATCCAGATCGTCTCTATCAACAGATTCAGAGCTGCCGCCACAAGCAATGATTTTGAAGCAATATCCGCTAGATCTTCCCATATTTGAAGATTCGTATAGTTGGATCAACAAAGCAACTCGTTGAAACTGTTTGGTCCGCCCTGTTTATCCACACACATTTCACAGTTTCACATAGGCTTCTAGTATTGCCATTGTTGGAAGTTGCACCAGATATATAAGGTGAGAGTGAGTAAGCAAGTGAGAAAAGCTGGGGAGGTTAAGTTATTATAGGACGGACCTAAACATCCTCCTTAAATCCAGCTAAATTTTGTGTTTCAATTCCGCCCCTTTTATTCGCCTGTTCCGTTGCAACTTGCACGGAAAAATAATCTATCGTAGGAGGGAAATTAATTTTGAAAATACTTTTTAATTTTTATTTTACGAAGGTTTTTGAAACACCTATTATATATTACAATATAACTAGAAACAGGTATTCAGAAACAGGTATTCATATAATGCATCGAAACATATTTTCATTTTAATGTTTCGTTTTATTTTTTATCATTGTCAATATTATACGATTTTATGTGATTTTAAGAAATCGATAATGTTTTTATTTTTGAATAAAATATAAATTTGAAAATATTATACAAAATTTACAAAAAAAGTATATTAATATTAGTATCAAATTGTCTATTTAAAAGTTTTTATTTGTATTTTCTTTTAATTCAAAATTTTTATTATAATTTAATTTATCTTAACGAAGTAACTTAATTTAGGTTTAATAATATTTTTTTATAAAGATAATAATTAAGTATTCTGTTAGAACTCAATAACTATCCTAATTATATTTTAGATTTTTTATATTTTAAAATGAGATATTTATTTTCTATTTGATTATGTTTATCAGTTAGTTATATGAATTCAATCATAAAACTTTAATAAGTTGTACTTATGCACAATTTACATGTAATCTTGAATTTTAAATAATATGCATTAATAAACAGTATTTCATGTATAAAAAATAATTTTTAATAGTTTTTATCAAATATTTTATAATATAGTATATATATTTCATACATCTAATAAATTTGTTATTTCTATTTCCAAAATTTTTATTTCAAAATTTTTATTCATAAGAAAACATATTTAAAAAAATAGTTCTCTCGCATGTTAATATTTTTTTTAAGAATTCTTCAAAATTTTATAATGTCATTTCTTTATCTTAAAACAGTTGAAAATTCTATCAGGAAAAAACTATCTAAAATATTTAATTCTTTATTTTGAAAAAAATTTTGGAGATCTTTTTTTTGTAAGGGTGTCCGGGCCAAAGCCCGACTAATCCCGGCAAATTTGGAGCCTAAACATGGCCCCACTTAAATGTCGCCAACACTCCCCTTTCAGGGCTCGAACTCCGGTTCATGACTATGTTATACCCAAGCCTTTACCACTAGACTAAAAGGTCTTTGACAATTATTTTTATTTGGAGATCTTTCAGTACATTATGAGAGGTATCAAAGAAAATCAATTATTGTCTAAAAAGAAATTTATCACGTTTGTTAATTCTTAACAATACAGGGGGTACTTTAGTCCTTTTTCACTCTCTTAATTTTATATTAAAATTAAAAAATGTATTATATTTTAAATTGTAATTTGTAAAACACAAAAAAAAAAGGGGGGGGGGAGATAACCACCACATTTTCTTCCTTTTTAAAATTAAATAGACAATATAATATGTTTTTATTTTAATATCAAAATATTAATGAAATGACCAAAATAGCCTTCATTTAATTGGATATAACAAAGAAAGTTAACGATTGTTATGCAGAACAACTTGAAAATTAACAAACATGAAGAACCGAATCTTAATTTTTAAAATTTAATCTCTAATTTATATTTGAAAAAATCAACATGGAAGTGAATATACCTTTAGCAACATCCCATATGGTGAATGATGAGTTCTCACATGAGCCACATGCTACATATGCAAAGATAAGTCAAGGAAAAGGATTATGATTTATGAGAGTATGTACTCCTTCAAAATATATATCAACTACTGAAATAACATTCGTATCAGATTCGTTAAAATAGTCATTTCTCTCATATAAATTGGTCTTCTGATATTCTTATCCATGATTTACCCAAATATTACTACGTCCACAAGTCTCACGTCCATCACTTCTGAACCCAACTAAAAGACAAAAAAAAAAAACAGATTTGACCCAGGTTCAGAATCGTGATGGTCGTGTCCACAATTGTGACGGCCAGATCTATATTTTGAATTTATTTTTTGTCTTTTAGCTAGGTCTGCAAGTGGCGGATGTGGGACTTGCAGAGGTTAATGATATTTGGGTAAATCAGGAACAAGAATGACTAGGAGACCAATTTATGTAAAAGCAATGACGGTTTTGTTCAGTTTTACTAATTCTAATGAAGACTTTATTACCTTTTTGTGTATCATCACCATCGCAATTAGTTGTCACTTTAGACATTTACCCCGCTTAAGCGATTCCGTAATATTTTTTTTATCATAATGTACGCAATAATTTACTCTATATTGTATAAGGTGACGTTTGTTTTTTAAGAAGTGATGAAATCTAAAGTCTCGTTTCACTTTTGATTAAATACAGGTTGTACTGAAATCTGAATCAAT